TCAAAACTCTTCTAAAATGTCTAAATATGGTTCTCTTTAAAGGAAGGTACAATATCATTAACTTGGATTTATACAGTATTTTCTGCAGCTATATTTTTATTTATAACGACAAATTGGTTTTTTATTATTTTTCGTTATTAAAATGAGTTCTAAATAACAAAACAATAGCAATTAAAAGAAGTTCCTCAGTTTTCAATGAAGTTTTTCTAAAACATTCCAGCAAAGAAAACAGCCTGGAAGTTACACTTATAGTTACTTTCTTTTATTTCACTGCTTTATGTGAAAGTATAAAGAGAAAAGGAAAGCCTTTTCTCTAGATTCAATCAACTCAGTTTCCTTACAGAAAATATAACAAAAGGGGGCAGGGGAGGAAAAAAAAACCATTGAAAAGTAACTTGACATCAACTTTCAGTATTTCATTTGAAGCTGTAGCATTCAAATGAATCCTTGTGAAAATCGTAAGCAGCTGAGGGCTAGATGAACCCAGTGTGGGTCCTTGCCTCTCCAAGGAGTGCAGTTCATTTTCACTACAAGGAACAAGGGCTCGCCCCGTCTTTAAAATATGTAATTGCAAGAAAAACAGTACTATCCTATTAATTAATCCACTACTGGGGGCTGTCCCTCAGATAATAATTCTAAATAGCTTCTAAAAAAAAAGAGAGAAGATAGCAAACACTTCTTTCCAGTTCTGCATTCTTGCAATAGAAATGTTGTCTGGAGACTTTAAGAAAAAATAATTTTACTTGATCACCCTGATGTCATGATTGCATACAATATGAAGTCTTTGTAAAAGTAAAAGCTTCATTACTGTATCCACAAGAAAGATATGTGCTACACCTTTAACATCTTTATGTAATGGAAAATATTAACCATAGACAGGACTGTATCTTATTTACAAGCCTGTTGGGCAGGCCTTCATCCATAAAAAAAGTCCATCTGTCTCACACCAGATTCTGGACAGTCCTGAATTTATTTGCTCTTTTGAAACACAGTAGGCAGCTTTCTGTCCAGAATCCAGAACTGGAGTTGTAAAAGGACTTTTCTACTGATCATAACTACCAAGAAGTTTTTTACAGATAAACTGTTTTTCTGCCAATTATTTGCATATATAGCTATAAAATTAGACTTTTTTCAATGCAATATGTGTTAATTCTATTTTTAAAAAGCATAATTTCAAAATATCACACTACTGACTTACATATTAATGGGGGGACCCCACCTACCCCTCTGCTCACTTAAGGAGAATTGAATTTCCAATGCTTCATCAGAAACCCAGGATCTCAATTTGTTCCTTCCTTCCAGAGTTACTGTTTCCATAAACTGCATCCTCCCCAGAGAAGCTTTATTCCTGATATAAATACCTATAGCATGTTTCCTTTTAGAGCTTCACTTATTCTGTTGAAAGAGCAGATTCTAAATCAAATTATGCTAGGTTTAAGAGATAATTTCAGTAGATAATTTTCATATAAATTGAGGACACTCCACTCTCAACACTTATGGGTCATGGCCAGCTTTTAGTATGGCACTGGTTTCATAATGTTTAAGCATACGTGTGCAGAATTTTACTGGCTATGCCTTTACTGGAATTTTCCATTCCTGACCAAAACAGTTCAGTTTAAAAAAAATTAAAAGGAGGAAATTAAACTGTTGAAATATTTTCAAGTTCTTAGGGTGGGGCTGTAGAATAAAGAATATCTGTCATTGCTATGACATTACTTTTTTTCTTTACTGAGTACAGCTCCATGGGTAAGGTATACACACTTCTCAGTACAGAAACATATTTTCTTGTAAAGAATATAACAAATACATTTATGGCCTAATGGTCGTTTTAAAGAAGTGAGGAAATCATTTTATAAATGGAGAGCAATTTTACAGGAAGAAGTAGCAAAAGGACTGTGTCTGTTTATAGAAAGCAGAAGTTGAATCATTTCTCTTCTCATTGCTGAGATATTGAAAAGTCAATATTCCACTAGATGGAGCAAATGTGGTGGGAACTCCTCAGACAGACAGCTCAAGGTCTGAGGTGACTTGCCAAAGTTTCGGAAAGAAATATATAGGTAACTTCTCAGAAAAAAAAAATGTCTATCACTCAAATATATTTTAAGTACAAATATTGTATATATTTATATATTTACATTTCTCTCTGCATGTGTGTGTATATGTGTGTGTGTGTGTGTGAGCGCATGCACAGGCACGCATGTGCATGAACATGCATGTGCATGCTGGTGTGCCACAATGTACCTGTAGAGGTTGAAGGACAACCTGTGCAAGTTGCTTCACTCTTTCCATCCTGGTCCAAATTTTATCATGTACTCCTAGCCTTAGAAAGCCTCTGTTTGAGTAGAGTTTGTGAAAAAAAAAAAAGAGTTGTAAAAGAAGCCTATTTTTCAAACAGTATAATTTTCTTTATCTCATATCCTTATTCCATGAGAAAAGGATGAATATGTGTAAGACATTGTATTTCTTACCATTCCATCTCCATGTAATCAAGCGAGGCCCTTACATCTATATATACAGATTTGTATGTCTGTTCCCACTGAATGGGGTTTAGAAAGCTCGAGTTAAAACTCCAGAATGCAGAGGCGTATGCTAGGTCTTTACAGATAGGGGTGGAGGCACTGGAAACAGAAAGAGGAAGGTGCTTGGTTTATGATTCTGGGTCTGTTGGGAACAGTTTTGCAAATGTGGGTGGTATTTCCTGCTATCAAGGGCTTTCCAGAATCTGATAATCATTTCCAAGCTGTATTACCTGGCCAAATTGTTTCAGTTGTGGCCATTGAGTGGCTGTTCTTTCACATGTATAATGGAACAGGATCATGTTCATCTTGTGGATAGAAGTCAACAAATACCAAATACAACTCCTATAGCTTTTCCACTCTGTCTGTTTGCCTTGAGGAAATATTAGCCTCTTGCTAAAGTGAGAAAACGGGAAAGGACTGCCACTATGTATCAGGCATATTTTAGCCTGATTTGTGTCAGCCCTAATAACTCATTTGACAAAGTGATAGATTAGATGCTGACACCTGTACAGGAAATAACCAGCACTTGATTTCAGCCAGCAGGCTCTCTCAGTTTCACAAACCAAAGTTTTACAGAGGCCCTCTTTGATTGAGGTCTTGGCATCTTACTCTCATTTTACTTTTCCCTGGCAAGGAAGACAGGAAAAGCCTTAAGAAGATCAGGTGATTATGGTCCAATGTTCAACAATATGCCCTTGGGCCTTCTGCTGTCCCAGAGACTGAAAGAACTCCCAGTATGAATTTATCAAATGACTGATAAGTATGTAGAGAAATCTAAATTGATATTATGTACCAAGACTTACCTAATAATCTTTAGAGTATGGCATGCTTTTGTTGAATTTTCTTGGCTTTAATATTTTTGTTTCTAATTGCTTTAAGCAGTGGTTAGCAACTTGGGACACATATTATCACCAGAAAACATTTGACAGTGTCTGGAGACATATTTGGTTATCACAGCTGATAAGGGGAGTGGTGCTGTTGGATTGTAAGAGAAGAAGTATGTGTTTTTATAGTTTTATTGGATGTAGGAAATCTTTCCTGACAAGGAGTCATCTGACCTAACATGGCAACAACTTCATGGTGAAAATCTCTCTGTTAGAGAAGTTAGTAGCTTGGACTATTAAGAAAGAAAGAAAGAAAGAAAGAAAGAAAGAAAGAAAGAAAGAAAGAAAGAAAGAAAGAAAGAAAGAAAGACTTTGTTCACGTCTTTAACCCAAAAAGAAATCTTGTACAACTAATATCCTTTTAATGGGAATTAGAGACATGATTTTATATCATGGTTTAAGGTTTGTTCAGAAACAGTCTCCTATAAAAGGTTCTGCACTTCCAATTCTTCGTGTTTCTGAAATACTGTAGGAATCCCTGCCTTCTAAACATTTATCAACAGTAATTTTCAAAAGAGTGGTTAAGACAAATTTTATTTGAAAGGTGGTCATTTTGGAAAGTGACTGACATGTTTAGACCAGGGCATCTCAATAATGCCGCTTTTGAAACTAAGGCAGGATGACAAGTATAGTGTGTGCAAGAGGGATAAGAAAGGAGGATGTGTAGGAGAGGGCAGAAGGAGTCACTTTTGGCTAATACACATTCTATGAATAATCCAATTTAATGACAGTGAGTTGTTCTCAGGCTCCATAGGACACATTCCATGTATAGTGTTCAACCTTTCAGTCATAAGCCATCAATTATAAGCCATCTTTGCTTTTCTCTTCATTACAATTTAAAATGACAATAACAGGATTTAAGGACCAGTTTAGTAAGATTTATTATATATGATATGTTCCATAAAATCTGTTTTAAGAAACACAGTAATCTTCTAAGTTCCATGCAGTTTAGAGTGCAAATAACTGGTACCCAGATAGATGCCTATCAAACAAAAGAACATACTAGGGGAACAGTTGATGCTGTC